GAGCGTAGTATCTGGGCTGGAATGCACTGTTTCTCATGGCACAGTCCCTCACAGCTTCCCTTGGCGAGGGCAGGGATTTCCCTGACCCTTTGTGCTTCCCAGGTGAGGTGACACTCAACCCTGCTTTGGCTCATTCCCCATGGGCTGCACCCACTTTCTAACCAGTCCCAATGAGATGAGCCAGGTATGTCAGTTGGAAATGCAGAAGTCACCTGCCTTCTGCATTGATCTCACTGGGAACTGCAGACTGGAGCTGTTTCTATTTGGTTATCTTGCCAGCCACTCCAGATCACTGAATAAGATTATGACATAAAGCCAGAGAGTTGATATAACCCTGAGCTAGGACAATAAAGGTATATTGCTGGTCTTGCCAACTGAAGGCAAATTGCCTCTGGTGGGTCCTATGGACAAGAATGAAGAAAAAAAGCATTTGCCAAGTCAGTGGCTGCATACCAGGTACCAGGAGATGTGTTAATTTGCTCAAGCAATGAAACCGCATCTGATACAGCAGCTGCAATTGGAGTCACCACTTGGTTAAGTGTACAATAATCCACTGTCATTCTCCAAAATCCATCTGTCTTTTGCAGAGGCCAAATAGGAGAGCTTAATGGGGATGTGGTGGGAATCACCACCCCTACATCTTTCAAGTCCTTGGTGGCACTAATCTCTGCAATCCCTCCAAGGATGCTATATTGTTTTTGATTTACTATTTTTCTAGGTAGCTGTGCTCTAATGGCTTCCATTTGACCTTTCCCACCATAATAGCCCTCACCCTACCAGTCAGGGAGCCAATGTGGGGGTTCTGCCAGCTACTAAGTGTGTCTATGCCAATTATGCATTCTGGCACTGGGAAAATGACCACAGAATGAGTCTGAGGACCCACTGGTCTCACTGTAAGTTGGACCTGAGCCAAAACTCCATTAATTACCTGACCTCCATAAGTCCCTACTTTAACTGGAGGACCACAATGACGTTTTGGCCCCCCCAGTATCAACATCTGCTCAGAGGCAGTATCCAGTAGTTCCCGAAATGTCGGATCGTTTGCCCTTTCCCCAGTGCACAGTTACCCTGGTAAAATGCCAGAGCTCTCCTTGGGGAAGTATGAGAGAAAGATGAACAGCTTAAATTGCTGGTAGTGTAGGGGTTTCTTCCTCAAGGGGACCTGGCCACCCCTTCATTCAAGCGGTTCCAGATTTGTCACTAGCCCAAGTCTGGAAATTGATTGAGGGGCTGTGATTCTCTGTTTTTAGAATTCAAATTAGTCTTTTGTCCATTCAACCTGGAAGTTTTCTGCTTATATAAATTAAGTATGAATGTAGTAGGCTTCCTATCAATCTCACTTCTAGGAACACCATGATTAATTAGCCAATGCCAGAGCTCTACATGAGTCAGACTATTCTGATTGCTGCTTTGCCTCTGCTGTCCATTACAGTAGTTACATCTACCTTGCCTTTGACAGCTGAGTGCCACCACTTGGCCTCTGCCACCTCAGGATCCAATTATTCCCATTGTACTTAAATTTTGTAGTTGAATGACTGTGGTTCCCACTGCTAGATCTGACATACAGAGAAAAGCAATTACAGGGCTCTTCAAAGATGCAGGTGCTACCCTCACAAATCTATTTCTCAAGGCATTGGTCAAGGGTATATCTTCTGGACCGTCCCAGCTGTGATGAGTAGGTCTAAAGTGACTAATCCACTCCACCATCTCAATATCCCTAAGACTTTGGATCCCATCCTTTACATTAAACCAATAGAGATCGGGCATTTCCAGCTCGCTCACAGTAGGCCATCTTTTAATCCATATTTCAGCTAACAAAGCAAATAAACTATTAGAACCTTTTCTAACTCCCTGAGCTTCAACATTAAATGCAGAATCCCTACTTACTGGGCCCAAATCAATACATTCAGCCTGATCCAACTCTATGTTCCTTCCATCATTACCCTTAATATCCATTCCCATTCCTGTTATCCAGATTTCCGCTTATATGGATTAGAAAACTCAATCAGTTTTTTTCGAGTGTAGTGCACCTCCAAGTGGGTCACACTCTGAATCTCACTTCTAGGGGCCTGCCACGACTTTAGTTATAGGTCTAGAAGCAAACAGGGGTGTTGGGGGTGGCTCCTGAGGAGAATAAACATCTTGCCTGGCAACTGCCTTAGGGGAGGCCATCACTGTTGCCTCAGGCAGTGAAGGGTTTATCTCAGACAAAGATGGAAAGGCTGATGGCAGCATGGGTTGGGGAGGGGATGTTGCCACGACTGGGGGTGGAGAAGCTATTTCTTCTGGCAAAAAAATGGTTCATCGGAGTTTATAAGCTCAATGTCCCCAGCTTCATCACGGTCCCAATTCCAAGTTGCATGATCTCATTCTTTTCCAATCAATGCCCTCACTTTAACAGTAGACACATGGCAAGGCTATGCATTGCCCTTTTATTTCAAGTAAGCCACTCACATGATAGGAGTTTGTATCTGTTTTTCCACAATTTTAGCTCTTTCTCTACAGAAGATAATACTATCACTCAGGGCAATCTTAACAAACTTGAGGCTCAGTAACTGCTTCTGAAGCCAGGAGTTAGGATCCCTGAATTCTTCATTTTCTTTCATCACTTTGTCCAGTGAACTTAGGAGCAACCAGCCAACTTTACTGTGTTCCTTGGTTCTGCACATATAATCAAAGTTATTATGTATAGAGTCCCTAAACTCTTTACCTCTCATGAGTGGTGAATCAGAAGTGTCAAATGCATTATTTTGCATAACTCTCTAAACAGTTCACGCAATGGACTATCAGTATTCTCCACACTATTAGAAGTAGAGTCCTTAGCATTTTGGGGTCTAGTCATATTAAGCAGCCAACTCCAGAAACCCCCAAATCAATGAAATGACTCCATCCTTAATATTCTGATGCTCTAGAACCACTCCTGGTAACAAAATCTATATTAGTCAGAGTTCTCTACAGATACAGAACTAATAGAACATATATACTAATATATATATTAGAATATATATATATAAAAGTATATTAAGTAGTATTAACTCACACGATCACAAGGTCCCACAATAGGCCATCTGCAAGCTGAGGAGCAAGGAAGCCAGTCTGAGTCCCAAAGCTGAAGAACTTGGAGTCTGATGTTTGAGGGCAGGAAGCATCCAGCATGGGAGAAAGATGTAGGCTGGGAGGCTAAGCCAGTCTAACCTTCTCACGATTTTCTGCCTGCTTTATATTCTGGCCGGGCTGGCAGCTGATTAGATGCTGCCCCCCATCCAGATTAAGTGTGGATCTGCCTTTCCCAGACTACTGACTCAAATGTTAATCTCCTTTGGCAACACCCTCACAAACATGCCCAGGATCAATACTTTGCATCCTTCAATCCAATCAAACTGATACTCAGTATTAACCATCACAGTGAATGAGTTCTCACAACATTTGGTCATTTAAAAGTGTGTGGCAGCTCCCCTACCCACTCTCTCTCTCTCACTTGCTCCTGCTTTTGCCATTCGATGTGCCTGCTCCACCTTCACCTCCTACCATGATTGTAAGCTTCCTTAGGCCACCCTAGAAGCCTAGCATATACCAGAACCATGTTTTCTGTAAATCCTGCAGAATAGTAAGCCAGTTAAAACTCTTCTCTTTATAAATTATCCAGTCTCAGGTATTTCTTTATAGCGATACAAGAATGGCCTAACACATGCTTGTTTTGTATAGTATCTTCCAGGTGTCCTCTGCATTTCTTGTATTTGGATGTGTACCTCTTTAGAAAGATTAGGGGAATTTTCCTGAATTATTCCCTCAAATATATTTTACAAACTTCTCACTTTTTCTTCTCTTCTCTCAGAAATGCCTGTAAGTCATAGGTTTGGTAGCTTTACATAATCCCATGTTTCTCAAAGACTTTGTTCATTTTTTAAAATTCTTTTTTCTTTTGGACCAAGTGTGTTACTTCAAAAGACTGCCTTTCAAACTCTGAAATTATTTCTTCTGCTTGGTCTAGTCTGTTGTTAAAGCTTTTATGTGTGTTTTGAAATTCCTTCAGTGAAATTTTCACTTCCAAAAGTTTTGTTTGCTGTTGTTTTTGTTACATCTATCTCATCTTTCATCTCCTGAATTGTTTTTTCTGCTTTCTGTGTGTTCATTTTCAACTTTCTCTGGATCTCATTGAGCTTTCTTATAACCCATATCTTGAATTTTTTTTCTGTCATTCAAAGTTTTCATTTTGGTTAGGATCCATTGCTAGAGAGCTAGTGTGGTCCTGATTCTATTCCATTTCTTCATGGTGCTAGAGTTCTTGTGCTGTTTTCTTGTCATCTGTAGAAGCTGTCACTTGCTTTTGAATTTACTTTTGTTCGGGTGGGATTTTTTTCTTTCCTTCCTATGTTAGGTAGGGACCTTTGGTTTTATTTCTATGTGCTTTCAGGGGGCCAAGGCTCTTTATGAATTCCTTGATTATAGATAGCCTTAGTGTAGTGGTTTTCTCAAATACTAGTTGTTTTTAGGTTGTAGTAGGAGTGTGCTGTACATGTGGTCAGGCTCACTTTCTCCTGCAGAGACCAAAGTTAAATACCTCAGAAGGCTTATCTTGTTTTCCAGCGCTGTACACTTCTGTCAGTAGAAATTATATTGGGCTGTGCAGTTGACCCTGCAGGCCAGTAGGCAGCTGTTGAAGGTATGATCTGGCTGAGCACTGTACAAGGAGGTCAGCTGAAGTTGTGATGAGCCACGCAGTTTGACCTCCTGGCCAGTAGGTGGCACTTGCAGGTGAGAGGCAGTTACAGCCATAGCAGTGGAATTTTTCGCTTGGCTTTTGTCTACTGAGGGAAGTACCCAGGTGTTCCTGGTGATGGGTAGGGCATAAGGCTCTCAGGGGTCCCATCACACGCTCTTTCACCAAGGCATCTGGATGGGGCAAAGGTGGGCGGGGCTAGGTCAGGTGAGCCCATGACCAGGCTCTCCAATGTGGGTGCAAGAGCCAACTTTTAAGGGGGTCTAAGGACCACTCTCAGGCCACCAGGACAACCCTCCAAAGACGGACAGGGGCATCCCCTTGTGTCACAGAGCCCACTCAGGGGAAGAGAGACAGCCCATGGTTTTCAGCTCAGCAGGCAGCTGTGGGGACCACTCACCTCCCACACCCCTGACCTGGCAGGTCTGGCATCTGGCTTCCCATGCCCAGATTGCTACGCCATTCCAGGCAGTCTGGACCATGAAATGCCCTGTGGCAGAAACCTCAGCTAACAGACCAGAATCTTTCCAGTCCAGTATTAGAAAGGAAGTGGTGCCCAGCTCCTGTGGCACCATACCAACTCATGCACCACTTTTCTCTGTGTTATAACAGTGGAGTCTCCTCCTCTACTCAGGGTCAGGCTACAAATCTCATCCCCATACCCCTGGGTGGTGTGATCAAGTCCTGGAGAACTGGGACCAGGCCAGTGGATTTGTCACCTGAACCCTCTGGGTCAATCACTGGCTGTGACGGGGGAGGTACCCAGGCCACAAACAAAGCACTGGGGGTGCGGAGCAATGAGCAATGGAGGCTATGCTGTGGGCACCCTCTGCAGGAACAGGCAGGCAGGCAATCTTGGTAGGGACCAGCAAACCTGGGCGGGGGAGGCGGGAGTGTAGTTCGGATGCACCTTGGTCCTGCGCCAATGGGCAATGGCGGTGGGGCCTATCTTGGGTGTATGACGATGCGTAGGCTCTACTCTCTCCTGGCCCACCAGACGGCGGGAGCTGCAGCTGCTTAGAGCAGGATGCACAGCCTTAGGGGTGGGCACCCAGTCAATTGTGCTACAGCATCCCAACATACTGAAGTCTTTTTGTCTCCACGTGGGTTCAAGCAGTGCCTCTACCTATTCTCCAGGCAACTCCCCCTGCCAGTCCAAAGGTCTATGGAGGTCACTGAAACTCCTGTAGCTAGGATCTCAGAGGTCTACAGAAGGAATGTGGTGCCTGGGGTTCCTTAAACTGCCCCTACCTTGAGTCCAGTCTGGGTCTGGGATCCATTCCTGGCACGCAGTAATACTGAGCAGGCAGCTATGCTTCCTCCCTCTTCAACCAGTGCCTTCTATTGCCTCTCTATTAAATTTCAGTGTTTGCTCTCAAAAGATCTGTTTAAAGTATCAAAATTTACTCAATATTGTGGTTCCTCTCCATGGAAGAGGCACATCTCAGCTGCCTCAGTCAGCCATCTTTTTCATCTGTACTTTGGTTGTTAATTTAGCTTACATTCAGAAAACCAAAACATCCTTTAGTTATTAGGGTCTCATTTAAAGGCTAGAGAATAGCAACCACAGCAAAAATGTTGGTGTTCTGTAGCTTCAGTTCTCAATTGAAAAGAGCTGTAACCTCTGTGTACTTATCCCTACATATTCTGGTTCTCCATCTAAGCTGCCTCTTAAAATCGTGAAGAAATTACTTTCATGCAAAATACATATACCACATAATTTTTTCTAGTTGCCTTCTAGTAAAAAGATTGTGAATTATTCTACAGCCCTAACCAGTTAACATGATTTCATTTAAACTGAGGACTTTTGTTAAAATTCGTTTAATAGTACACCCTTTAGACTGCCCTCGCATTTAAAATATTTTAATGTTAATTGCTATTAGGTGTTTGGTAGAACTCTTGGTGATTATATATTTGTAGTTGCATAACAGACATCTAACTCCTTTCTCTTGTTTTTGTCAATGTAATATTTTGTTTTGCGTTGCTCCTTTTTTACTTTTAGAGCAAAGCAGAAAATGGAAAGTCATATTGTTTCAACATTGGGAAACCTGTAGTAAGTAATTACTACATATTTATTCTTTTTAATTTGTCAGGCTAAAACATATACATTCTCTAGTACAGCTTTAATTTTAAGCTTTACCTGGTTAAAACTTTGATAATCTCCTTTAGCAATTCAACAAGTAAAGATCAAGTGTGACATTGTTAAAAATAAAATTAATAGTCCATTGTTTAATCACAGTATTTAAGCACCTAATATGAGAAGAACAATATGCTTAGCATCGAATAAGACTTAGGGAAAGACTGCATCATAACTTACAGATTATAATTTTTAGTATGCTACTTGAATTTTTGTTATTTTAGGTTTCTGATATTCAAACAACATCTGCTGTTATTTCATGGACTCTACGTGGTTCTGAGATGTGTGACCATACTAAATCTCCTATAACATTGAATTGGCAATATCTAACCGTGGTAAAAATGGAAAATATAAAAATATATATGTAAGCTCTTTTTGATCATATCCCTTATTTCTTATAATTCAATTCAAATATACTATCTAAACATATAAATCCCAACTTACACCTCCTCTTGAGTTCTAAAGTTCTGTAACTTTTTTCCCAACTGAATGCATTTTTCCACAGAAATAGTTTTCCAAATGGTGGTAGGTCACCAGGCCAGGCCACAAAATTCACTAGATCATAAGTAGATTAGAGCTGAGGGGGGCCTTAAATATCAACTGGTCCATTTTCTTTAGTTTGAAGACTTCCTATTAGGTAAGTTTAGACTCAAGGAAGAAAAGACTCTTCCATATCCTCCTTTTCATTTTTCACTTAGGTCATTTTAGGGAAAAATAAAGTTTCCCATGATGGTAGGCCTTTGGGTGCACAAGTGAGGTATTTACATTGCAATGGGAATTTAAGACTTTGACTCTCCTGGGAATTTCATTATAGTAGCTAGTTATAGTTGGAGGCTATAGTAGTAGTAGGATGAGCTTAGAAATGTGCTCAAAGATAGAACCAAGATGGGGGCAGGGATATAGTGGAAGGCACAGCAAGAGCACACCCAGCCACTCCTAACAGCTTCTGGACTGCAGAGGTATATACAATCTGAAAGACGGCAAACTGAGGGAGGCACAGTAGGAAAAAAAAAAAAAAAAAACCCAAGTGGGGAAGAAGGAGAAATTCCTACGCCCACCAAACCAAACAACTAGGCAATAAGTAAGTCAGAGATTGTGGAGTTGTCTGTACTGTACTTTAACAAACACAATATCCTCAACTTTTTTTGCTAGAATTTGTCACCTTTATTTAGAGGCTCAAAGTGAAAAACTTGAATGTAATTGGTTATATGTTGTATAAAGTTTTATTTCTTTTTTTAACTTTTAAGTTTAGGGGTACAAGTGCAAGTGCATTACATAGGTAAACTTGTGTCATGGGGGTTTGTTGTACAGATTATTTCATCATCCAGTTATTAAGCCTAGTATCTATTATTCATCTTGATCCTCTCCCTCCTCCCTCCCACCCTCTACCCTCCAAAAGGCGCCAATGTGTATTGTTTCCCTCAATGTGGCCCTGTATTCTTATCATTTAGCTCCCACTTATACGTGAGATCATGTAGTATTTGCTTTTCTGTTCCAGCGTTAGTTTGGTAAGGATAATGGCCTCCAGTTCCATCCATGTTCCTGCAAAGGACATGATCTCGGTGTTTTTTGTTTTGGGTTTTTTGGGGTTTTTTTGGTTTGTTTTTTTTTTTTTGGTTTTTTTTTGTTTTTTGTTTTTTGTTTTTTTTTTTGCTGCATAATATTCCTTGGTGTATATGTACCACATTTTAAAAATCCAGTCTATCATTGATGGGCATTTAGGTTGATTCCATGTCTTTGCTATTGTGAATAGTGCTGCAGTGAACATACGTGTGCACATGTCTTTATGATGGAATGATTTATATTCCTTTGGGCATATACCCAGTAATGGGATTGCTGGGTCAAATGATATTTCTGTCTTTAGCTCTTTCACAAATCACCACCCTGTGTTCCACAATGGCTGAACTAATTTATACTCTCACCAACAGTGTATAAGCATTCCTTTTTCTCCACAACCTTGTCAGCATCTGTTATTTTTTGACTTTTTAATAATAGCCATTCTGGATCATCATGGTGGACAGGAGGCAGGACTAGATTGCAGCTTCGGACAGAGCAGCGTATGGATGCTCACATTGTGAAATTTAGCTCCAGATCAATTGCAAAAACAAACCAGCAGAGGACCCACATGCCCTCTGAAGGAAGCAGACTGATCCTGCAGGACTCAGGCAACACACCAAATACTGTGAGTGCCCCAACTGCAGAAGTGGGACAGGGAACACACACCCCCAAACACACACCCCCACTGGAGAAACTGAAGCTCTGTTTGTGGGAGAAGTTTCTGACCCTACCTGGAGCTGAATCAATTTAGAGAATTGAGCAAAATACAGGAGTAGAGGAAGCAGCAGAAACACTCTGGAAGCTCCCTGGGTCCCCAAGCAGACCATTCCTGCCTGGCACCACAGGGATCCATGGGGAGGGTGGCCAGAGGAACAGGGAATAAAACTCCACAAGGAGAAGAAAATCTCTAGCTGAACTGTTTAACAATTTGAAGGAAGAGAGAAGCCTCCCGGCCAGAACTCCAGGGAAGGTGCAAATAGGGTATGCAGACTTCACCAACAGGGGAAAAACCAAGCTGTTTTCTTTCGCAGCTGGGAGGAGGGTAGCCTGGGGCAAGTTTTCAAGCCTGGCTTGCCCACCGCCTGGAAACAGAGACCAGGCTGTTGGGGGCAGGGGCACGGTAGGAGTGAGATGGGTCCTTTGGGTCCTTCGTCTGAGTGGGAGCTGGGTGAGGCCTGTGACTGCTGGCTTTCCCCACCTCTCTAACCTGTATGACTCAGCAGAGGCAGCCATAATCCTCCTATGTACATAACTCCAGTGACCTGGGAATCTCACTCCCATCCCCTACAGCAGCCGCAGCAAGACCCACCCAAGGAGAATCTGAGCTGAGACACACCTAGCCCTGCCCCCACCTGATGGTCCTTCCCTACCCACCCTGGTAGCAGAAGACAAGGGGCGTATAATCTTGGGAGTTTTGTGGTCCCACCCACTGTCGGTCCCTCTCCATACTACCACAGCTGATTGCTCTCTGGAAAGTGCCACCTCCCAGCAGGAGACCAACCAGCACAAAAATAGAGTATTAAACACCAAAGCTAAGAACCCTCACGAAGTCCACTGCACCCCCTCCCCACAATGTCCATGAAAACAGGTACAGGCATCCACAGGTGAGAGACCCATGATGATTCACATCACAGGACTCTGTGCAGACAACCCCCAGTACCAGCCCAGAGCCAGGTAGACTTGCTGGGTGGCTAGACCCAGAAGAGAGACAATTACTGCAGTTCAGCTCACAGGAATCCACATCCGTAGGAAAATGGGGAGAATACTACATCAAGGAAACACGCAGTGGGACAAAATAAAGTCTTAACAGCCTTCAGCCCTAGACCTTCCCTCTGACAGAGCCCACCCAAATAAGAAGGAACCAGAAAACCAACTCTAGTAATATGACAAAACAAGGCTCATCAACACCCCCCAAAAATCACACTAGTTCACCAGCAATGGATCCAAACCAAGAAGAAATCCCTGATTTACCTGAAAAATAATTCAGGAGATTGGTTATTAAGCTAATGAGGGAGGCACATGAGAAAGGTGAAGCCCAATGCAAGGAAATCCAAAAAAGAAACAATACAAGAAGTGGAGAGAAATATCCAAGGAAATAGATAGCTTAAAGAAAAAAAGTGAAAAATGCAGAAAACATTGACAGACTTACAGAAATGCAAAATGCTCTGGAAACTCTCAGCAATAGAATTGAAAAAGTAGAAGAAAGAAATTCAGAGCTTGAAGACAAGGTCTTCAAATTAACCCAATCCAACAAAGACAAAGAAAAAAGAATAAGAAAATATGAACAAAGCCTCCAAGAAGTCTTGGATTATGTTAAACAAACAAACCTAAAGATAATCAGTGTTCCTGAGGAAGAAGAGAATTCTAAAAGCTTGCAAAACATATTTGGGGGAATAATCAAGGAAAAAATCCCTTTCTTGCTAGAGATCTAAACATCCAAATACAAGAAGCACAAAGAACACTTGGGAAATTCATTGCAGAAAGATCATCAGTTAGGCACATTGTCGTCAGGTTATCCAAAGTTAAGACAAAGGAAAGAATCTTAAGAGCTGTGAGACAGAAGCACCAGGTAACTTTTAAAGGAAGACCTATCAGATTAACAGTAGACTTCTCAGCAGAAACACTACAAGCTAGAAGGGGTTGGGTCTCTATCTTCAGCCTCCTCAAACAAAACAATTATCAGCCAAAAATTTTGTATCCAGCAAAACTAAGCATCAAATATGAAGGAACAACAGAGTCTTTTTCAGACAAACAAATGCTGAGAGACTTCACCACTATCAAACGGCCACTACAAGAACTGCTCAAAGGAGCTCTAAATCTTGAAACAAATCCTGGAAACACATCAAAACAGAACCTCTTTAAAGCATAAATCACACAGAACCTACAGAAGAAAAGTACAAGTTAAAAAACCAAAACAAAAAGTAAAAAAAGCAAAGTACACAGGCAACAAAGAGCATGATGAATGCAATGATACCTCATATTTCAATACTAACATTGAATATAAATGGCCTAAATGCTCCATTTAAAAGACACAGAACTGCAGAATGGATAAGAACTCACCAACCAACTATCTGCTGCCTTCAGATGACTCACCTAACACATAAGGACTCACATAAACTTATAATAAAGTAGTGGAAGAAGACATTTCATGCAAATGGACACCAAAATCAAGCAGGGGTAACTATTCTTATATCAGACAAAACAAATTTTAAAGCATCTTCAGTTAAAAGAGACAAAGAGGGGGACATTATATAATAGTAAAAGGCCTTGTCCGCCAGGAAAATATCACAATCCTAAACATAGATGCACCTAACACTGGACCTCCCAAATTTATAAAACAATTACTAATAGACCTAAGAAATGAGACAGATAGCAACACAATAATAGTGGGGGACCTCAATACTCCACTGACAGCACTAGGCAGGTCATCAAGACAGAAACTCAACAAAGAAACAATAGATTTAAACTATACCTTGGAACAAATGGATTTAACAGATATATACAGAACATTTCATCCAACAACCACAGAATACACATTCTATTCAACAACACATGAAATCTTCTCCAAGATAGACCATTCGATGGGCCATAAAATGAGTCTCAATAAATTTAAGAAAATTGAAATTATATCAAGCACTCTCTCAGACCACAGTAGAATAAAACTGGAAATCAACTCCTAAAGGAAACTTTGAAGCCATGCAAATACATGGAAATTAAATAACCTGCTCCTGAATGATCATTGGGTCAAAAACAAAACAAAGATGGAAATTAAAAAATTCTTTAAACTGAACGACAATAAGGACACAA